ACGCCCAGCCCCAGAGTCACCTGATATTTGGACGTACAAAGTGGTTGTGATCACCACTATTGGGATCTTTCAAAGGGTTGCCCAGGATCCACCCTGTGCGATTTAGCTTTCACTTCGGTCCCAACGAATTGAAAAGGGGGGCACACCAAAGGGGAGTCTTAGACCTTGGCACTTCCCCAGCAGAGCTGAAATGAAGACAACTTTCGCTTTTTCCATGTCTTCATTCACTCACCCTTTGGTTCATGCCTACTCCTGGGTGCGGTGCCAGGCACCGGGGTGACCAGGAATAAGGCCTTCCAGCCTTCCTGAGAGCTGCACAGTAGTCTGCCAGAGGAGTCCGTGGACGGCGCTGGAGCGAGGCTAAGGACAGGGAGGGACCGGACAGGTAGAAGAGGAGAGGCTGTCTCCATTTGGAAAGGACATGTGAGCCAAGCCCTGATGCTGGAGTGGGGGTTCATCAGAGGGAGGCCGAGGTTCCAGGTGTGGGGAGCACTACCCTGGGACACTGCCCGGGGGACTCTGCTCCTTCGTCATCGTGTGAAATTGATGGTGTTGAAGGCAGCAGCCCAGTGGAAGCCCAACCATTACCTGCTGAGTGAGGGCCCGAAGCCCAGTGGGAACCAGGAGACGGGGTATAGAGGGAAGAGATGAGTCATTCCTTATAACAAGAATTACTGCCTTGTCCCATATGCACTTACAGTTAAGAGTCATGTATAAAACAGCCTTATTGTGTCTCCATCAGACCGCTAAGTACTTACTGCACAATGCAATATGATAGTTTATATATGGTGTCTTCCACACCAATGATCACAAACGCTTTACCCTCGAGGGGCTTTACCCTAAGGTAACGCTTGAAAGAGCCAAGTTGGGCTCAGCTATCCTCATATGGAGGCACGGGGGAGTGGGGGACACGGGGGGTGCTGGAGCAGAGGACTGAAAAGCAAGGAAAGCGAGGATTTGTGGGGTTAAAGAAGAGAGCGATGGTGGGGGAAGGGGCGCAGGCAAGTGAAGGAGAGGGGTGGAGAAGCACTTGAGACAGGCAGGAGGCCCAACCACTACTTTTCCCAGCGAGAGCAAGGAGTAGATTGCAACTCCCTGTCTAATGTTCCTAGCAGCCTCCCACAGGACATCCACAACAGGCAACGACGACTGGGGAGAGGGACCTTCAGCGGGCACCCGCTCCGCCAGGCCCTGCAGGGGCACTTTTGCCCACCACCCCAGCAGTGTTTACAATGGAATGAAATGCAGAGCTGTTGCAGCTGTTGGCCACGCCAGAGACAGCACAGTGGGACCGCGGCAGCGGTTCATGCCCCCTCTCCTGTCCTGTCTCCCCCAGCTTCCTGCCCCGTGCTCTGCAGCGGGAATGGCCAATACATGAAGGGCAGGTGCCTGTGCCACAGCGGCTGGAAGGGCGCTGAGTGCGACGTGCCCACCAACCAGTGTATCGACGTGGCCTGCAGCAGCCATGGCACCTGCATCATGGGCACCTGCATCTGCAACCCCGGCTACAAGGGCGAAAACTGTGAGGAAGGTAAGATGGCTCCGGCCCCTTCCCAAAGGTCAAGGCTGCGCACACTTCCACAGAGGCATCCCGGGAACCCCACCTGAGCCCCCAGCGATACTGATCCCAAGGAAGATTGACTGACTGTTCCGGGTCCTGGCCAGAGAAGGGGAAGAGAATGCTCCTGTGTGGAGCTCTTACCGCAGACACAGCTCTGTTCCCCCCGTTGAACCCTCGAGCCGCGTTAGGCAAGGCTCATCCTCTCCGTGTTACAGACTCAAAGGGCCAAACGGCTCGCCCAAAGTCCTGTGATAAGTAGTTGGCCGAGCTTGGTTGAAGCCCTCAGTTCCTGGCTCCTTGGCTCAAGATTTTTCCCACTCTCCTATAAGCACATCTGCGGTCTCCTTCCCTTTTTGAGCTCTGACTCTACCTCAGGCATCCCCACCCTGCCTTCCTCTAAGATGCTCTGTGTGTGCCTCCCTGTTCCATGGGTATTAGGTGCCCGTGGCTCGCTCCTAAAGTCAGTGTATGCCTGGGTAGACCTTGACTGCCGACCGAACACTGACACTTGATGTCCTTATCGCTTGGAACACATGACCAGGGGAGCGCATCAAATAGCCCCAGTCCACAACCAACACGACTGTGGCCCAGGGAAGGGCCTTGGCATGCCCATGGCCAGCTAGGGAACTCAGAAC